GAGTATTAGTGTACTTCTCTAAGGCAATTCTATGGCATTTGTTTTGATACTTTTCAAACATCTTCCATGGATTTTATATGTTTAGGCAATAAACTTACTTTTGGTGTTGGAATGTTGATGTTTTTCCTTCAGCTATAAAGAGAACGCTATGAAGTTATCAAGAATTCATCATGATCAGCCAACAAAGCCCCTGGATCGAGCAGTCTTCTGGATCGAGTATGTCATGCGCCACAAAGGAGCCAAACACCTTCGGGTTGCAGCCCACGACCTCACCTGGTTCCAGTACCACTCTCTGGATGTGATTGGGTTCCTGCTGGCCTGTGTGGCAACTGCTACATTCATCATCACAAAATGTTGTCTGTTTTTTTGCCGAATGTTTGCGACAGCAGGAAAGAAGAAAAAAAGGGAGTAATTATATCGAGCCCTGAAGCTGGGATACCTGAACAATGGATCTCCTGCAATTTATTCCAGCAAGAAGGGGTTGTGATGGAAAATTCTCTTCCTCCTGTGACAAAACATTTTTTCTCTACTTACTTCGTCAAGTCAAAATTTGTTTTCCGGAGATTTAGTACCTATTTAAAAGTTAGAAATATTCCATGTCAAATATTGAAATGAACTAGGAAAAAGTAAATATTATGTAAAATATATGAATTTATAGCTAAATTTATTGTTCTAATTCATAAGTTATGGCACAAAACATTTATTGAACTTAACTATGTTTCACACATTGTACAGGGACAGAAGAACATTGAGAAGTCCACTCACAGTATCAATACTGTTTTGCTAATACTCAGAAAACTTTGGCTTCATTCTGAGCAGAATTTTCTTATTTTAATTGTTACTGAAGAAACTATTCAATGATTAATTTCTGTAAAAGGTCTCTTCCTTCCTTTTGCTATTGTGAGGCCAGTGGTACTACTTGGCTTTTACAGGACATGGAACCTCAGTATACCTGCTTTCCTAAAAGACGTGGCAAGACATTTATTTAGCTTCTAAGAACTTAAGGTATTTCCCAGGGGAATGTATGTGGAATTAGAAATATAGCGACTACTACTTGTTTCCTGCAGTAAAATTGAACTATTTTGCAAATTCTTTGGTTTCACAAACCAATTTTTAAGAGCATTTTAAGAGATTTACCAGAATGATTTCACTCCCTTTATCAGCCATTTATAAAAGATGTAAGGTCTCCACTTAGTAGTCATAGATGATATTTTGTATTTCCATGGTATCAGCTGTAATTTCTCCTTTTTCATTCCTGATTGAGCTTATTAGAGTCCTGTCTTTTCTGCTTCTTGTTAATCTAGCAAGAGGTATGTCAATTTTGTTTATTTTTTCAAAGTACCAATTTTTTGCTTTATTAACCTTCCATATAGCTTTTTTGTTATTGATTTCATGTAGTTCTGCTCTTGTATTATCCTGGATAGAGCTGGAACTCATTCTACTAAGTGAAGTATCACAAGAATGGAAAAATAAGCACCACATGTACTCACCATCAAATTAGTATTAACTTATCAACACTTATGTGCACATTTAGTAGTGACATTCATCGGGTATTGGACAGGTGGATGGGGCAGGAGGGCATGGGTATATTCACACCTAATGGGTGCGGTGCACACTGTCTAGGGTATGGACAT